GGTGACACAAGGGGCTATGTTGGGTGGTTGAATTAAAGAGCAAAATGCTCTGCCCGGCGACGCAATCGCCTGTGAACGTTGGTGAACTTCGTGCCGTCTGATTCGCAAACCGTCGGACCGATAGCGTGGGAATTGCAACCGGTGGCCCTGATGATGAAAAACAGACGGCGGAAGTTGCCAGCTGATGCAGCGGCTTCCGTCTCATCAGCCCACTTTGACCACCAGGGGTACACGCTCAGAGCGAAGGCCTGCTTTCAGCTGTTGCTTTATAGACCGGCTGTGTTCGTTGTACTCTGCGCCAGCAAGCACCGCCCGTCGGCGATCCATCAATTTCGAGGAGCTTCCAGAGATCCAGCTTTTGGAAGTGGAGCGAGCGGTCACAGCTGGACAAACCGGCCGACAGCAAGGCCTGTTGCAGACTTGACCAGTGTTGATCAACATCCAGAGTGAGAGTGTGTGAGATTTTCACGAAGCCTTTGTTGATGCTCCTTCCTTACCACTGGGTCCTCCAACTTGTAGGTGTTCAGTCGGGTGTTTTCGCCTAGGTGAATCACCGAAATACATGCAAACGTTCGCACATACATAGTGAGGAGATAGACACTGATTTATGGTTCACGATCATGGCAGCAAAATTTACGAATAAACGTGTCACATGTGATTTAGATAGGTTCGGCAATCTGATATCTCGTCTTCCCATAGAGCTCACCGTCCAACTCACGGATCTGATAGTGACAGCTGGCCCGACCAATCGTTACAACTCTCTGTAAGAGGCCGTAATAAAACGATGCATACCATTGAACAGATCTCGTCTGCATCAACTCTTTTCTGGTCTGCTCATCCTTACTAAAGGTGCGAGGTCTCCAAAGGTTTTCACGTATGGAGGAATCTTTGATTCGGGAACTATGGCTGCAACGTTTACCTGAGTATGTGCAGGCTGTCTTATGCCTCGCCAAGTAAAAACGGTTATCAGAAATCGTCGAAACTGCAGACAGCTTAGTAGAGCGTTAAACTGGACCACTTTGCGCTTCGTCTAGCATCGCCAGGCCAGCTGACGTGTCTCACCGGGTACAGACCGTCGCTCCATTAAACGACAACGCAAGCAACCTGCCTTCAAAGCAGGCACTTGTGGGAGAAATAGCCGCACTCAAATGAGAAGTCCAACTTTTAAGCCTAAACAAGCAGCAGCGTGGGGTCACATGCCGTTCGCATGGTCGCGGTAGTAGCGCCACACGACACTCTATATGTCGTTAGCATGCGCGTTTCGGTAGCGCTGCTAGAAATTGCATTAAACCTTGCGCGCTTATATCGAGAAAGGGAAAGCAGGCGGAACAAGGCCTTGACAGACTTCATCAGATTCACAATCTGATAAAGACTAAAGTCAACGGTCAACCGATGCCCAGCAACGGTATCTTAGAACAATCCGATCGACAAATACTGGCTATTGACGTCGTTACTCAAAATACCGCACGTTGTCTATTCAAGATAGCCGGAATCATGTTCCTAGTGGATACTGGGGCGGAAGTCAGTGTACTCCCACCAGGTCCAAACGAATCGACTAAGCGCCGGACGACAAATCTACGTGCCACCAACGGAAAGCCCATAGCAATTTTTGGCCAGCCTTTCCCCACCATCGATCGTGACCTTAGATGCAAATTCCCTTGGATTTTTACGGTAGCTGCTGTACCGCTTGCCATCCTCAGAAACGATTTTATGCATCATTTTGACCTAATGGTCAATACTCACCAGCGAAATCCAACTGAGAAATAAACACGTTTTCTATTAACGGAATCGAGAGGTCATCCGAAGCCATCACTCCCATTTATGCGCAGCCACAACCCGAAAAAAGGCTTTTTAGAACTGTTTCCGCAGTTCCCACAGCTAGTTCACCCTTCTAACTCTATCCTTCCTGTAGCAACTGATGTACTGCATCACATACGAACCCAGTGTCGACCACTCTCCGCACGACCACAACGTCTTGACGGCCAAAGCGGAATTCAAGCATGTGTTCGAACTTGGTATTATCCGCTCATCCGAAAGTCAGCGGGCCTCTCAGCTACACATAGTGTCAAGGAGAACTGGCGATTGACGACCGTGTGGCGATTATCGGGCAATGAACAAATGCGCCTGCTCCGACAAATTATCTCCCAGAGAAATCCGCCACCTAGACTGACTCACAGTTCACGTCAGATATACAGCACTTCTAAGGCGTGCAAAACTTTGTGGCAGAGGCCCTATTCAAAGTCAGTTCAATCAAACTTGGTCACAACATCGACCTAGCAGCAAGGTCTGCTGCACAATAGACCGATGAGGAGATTGAACAACTGCACGCCTAGTTCACTCCGTGTCCGACCATATTCGCTAGCTACCTATACAGCTTTCTCAAAACAACTCGCTTCACGTATATATATATATATATGCATATATATATATATACACATATATATATATACATTATATATATATATGGTTCGTTGCTTGCAACTATACATCATGGGCAAAGTGCATGCGCTTTGGTTGCGAGTGATTAGTTGGCTAAATCCACTAACTCTGTCTCTTATTAATTAGCACAGGTAAGGTTCTTTTTGCATAGTGGGAGTGCTGGAACAAAGCATTCATATACTCTTGATGTCTATGTTGTTGTCCCATTGTCATCCATGAGGACCATGGCAACAGCGCGGTTTGAAAGGTCATGGGATGTCGTGAGTATAAAGATCTATCGTGCCTGGGGTTGCGGTAGGAATAGGAGACCGGAAAACTTTAAGATTCAAATAAAGCGCATAAAACTTTAAGGCTTAAACTTCCCAATTTAGCAAATAAAATGATTCTTAGCCTAAAGCAATGATCCTAATGCTTTTGAATAGAAGTTACAAGTCACCAAACAAACAGAGTATGTCTCCGGATTTGTGTTGAACACATAAATTTTGTGAAGCAGCAGTTTATCAAGTGACGAAGTCAGTTAACCCCCGATTGTTTGATGGTTTAGGAAATTCGCCTCTAAGAAAAGTACCCAATCAGCCGTGTTACAGAAAACATCAATTGATTCAAGATGCAAGTAATTAAAAAGCTGACCTCCCAGTCAGAAGTAAGCCGGTAGCCTGTGTAAGTCGCCTTATTAAACCAATAGTTCGCGCCTCGCACTAGCCCTGATAACACCATCGGATGGTCAAAGACCCGATTTCCGTCAGCTTCCGGATTTAAATTGATATGTGGAAAACAAAAGCATTTGACACCGTTAACAGCTATACGGAAAGCTACCCAAACGATCAGAATTATGCAGCAACGTATAAGAAAAAAGTCTGTTGGTATGAATAGGTTTTGTGAGATAACTAGTACAACTTTTGCTGAGTGTCAGATTTTCGTCTGATATCGGAGTGAAATCAGTGTGTAGGGAATGAGAGCTTTAAAGTCGGATAAAAAGATTCTATGTAGATGCAAAATTAATGCTTAACATTGTTTAACACATTGCTACATTATTATCCCGGTCGGGTTGTTTCAGCGCAATAAACATTTCGCATCTCACAAATGGTGTTTTTGGACACTGCAAAAGGATTCCATTGGGCTTCTCTTATATCAAATACTGTCTGAACAACGGATAATTACCAAATATAAGTAGAAATAAGGATTGGGAATCGATGGGAAACTGCATTGGTAAGTGCTACCAAGTTATATTTTGACTATCTGATTTACATCTGAAATTTGTTCCGTCGTAGCTTTCTTCGGCAGAAATCAGATGGTCATCGGATTGAAATCGGTCCCTGGGCAGAGACTTGTGCTAACAAGGAGCATGTAGTCTTGTTCAATGTTATGTACATGAAAACAGGCCTTTAAAGGTTTCATATAAGTTCTTCACATTTCATCGGAAAGTCAAGTTCGATGTCATCAGCGCTGTATGAAACCGACATTGAATATAATCAGTACACAGTTAATGCACTCCACAGAGAGGATTACGCGTGGGCCACCAAAGAGTGTAAAATGGTAACACGCTTGCTGAACCGGCACAGTAAGAAAATACAATAACGGTGACACTATGTGATGGAGTGCGATTACCGTGGTACACTGCGCACCAGTTCCAATGTTACCATCTTGTTACACCAAGAGAAATTGCCTGGTTACCTCTGCATTGATAGCTGCATTACAACCAGGCACGAATATAAACTAAACCGTTTTGGTAGACGCAGTTTTGTGATAAATATATATTATAGGAAGATGGACCAAATCGGTACCAACATATTGGCAGGAGAATTTTTAAATCATTTCAGTAACAGCATTGATAATTTAAAGACAAGTGCCGTTACGAAGCCGTTACAAAAGTCTTACAGAGGTTGACCAAGCTCAAGTAGGACTGAGAAGAAATGTCATAGAGAAAGAGTATACAAGGTGGAGCACCCGAGAATCACACGCGTTTTCCTTAACCAGCACAGTAAACGCATCCCTAACACAATGGTAGGAATGGCCAACGAGTGAATGAATGAACCGCATTAAAGAAAACTTAAAGAAAGATGTGGTCGACACTCAGACTGAGGAATGTTTCAAGCGACTCTCGCATTCTTCCTTGGTGAGTAATATGGGACCTAGTTTCTTTCAATGTAGCTGATACGGCTCCTTGTGAAATACAGTTTTGTAACTATTCACGACTACCACATAATGCTCGGGAAGTGAAGGAACTGACAAAGGATTTCCTTTCTGCTATCTACAATCCAATGATCCAATAAAAGAATACCAGCAAACATTTGGTGAACGAATCGATCAAAAGCAATAAAGGGCATAAAACACAGACAAAACAACAGTGATGATGGCACTTTGACAAGGTGTGTAAATTTTAAATCACTCATGAATATTTGTGCATTAATGCACCAATGCTAGGCAGTTATTCACTGTGTAAAATTGGACATTGAATAACAACCAAGCGCGAAAAGAAATGCTCCTCGATAAACACGCGCTATTAAGCAAAGCGCATCGCAAACAAGAAAATGATAACAGTCATGGTAAAAACCGCTCACCTTAGAAAGATAAGCAAGACGGAAACCCAACAAGAAAACTCATCCGTAAAGCGCGCCAATGTGGTAGCGGTGGAAGAAGTACATGTAAATAGCTCATTTAATCATGCACACATCAGCATTTTAATTGTGGTATTTGCTTTACAGCTATCTTTTTGTTTGCATGAATAGTAAGTTTTAGAGGCTGGTGTGTTGCACGTCAATTGATGCACTCACCCTGTGAGTACTACGCGGTAACTCGCTTTCTTTGGCTTGCCATACTGATAGAGCTTCTAACTGAAATATTGTGAAAACGAGGTTTGAATCAATGAAGCGCAATTTGGCTGTTGTCAAATTTCCTATCATCCATGGTATCTTGGATCTATTAACTTGGTACTGGACATAGCGTCTCCTTGAGGCTTTGTGATTGTTTCCTTTTTAATCCAGTTTTAGACCGTTTTAACTTTTTGGTGGTCGTTTTACCGTTGTATCCATGTATTTAAAGGCCGAACCGTTTTCTACTTTTAACCTGATCGTCTCGCTAAAAACCGAGGCGGACGCAATCCCTGGGTCTTCGTTTGATGAGTCTAATGCAGCTTGCGGCAATTCTGCGTTTTCAAGGCAACTTACGGATCCGTCGGGGAATATGCAGAGGGATGTTTGCTCCCGCTGGTGCCACAAACGCTGTATCGGTCTCCGAGCGGATAAGTACAATGTGCTAGCATCCAGTGAAAACCTCTGTTTAAGTTTGCTGATGTGCGCACAAAGCGAAGCTCCAGGATTTCACCCGTGCTGAATTCAAAGCACTAGTATCCAGGTTCATAATTGTTGAGAACGCCGTAGCCGAGCTTGTCTCTCCTGCTTTGCTTAACACCAAAGTGGAGTTGATTACGAAATCTCTGCATAGTGCGCATGTGGACGCTGTAACGGACTGTCCGTCTGCTGACAGTCCATCCGTTGATGAGGCTTTCATCCTAACGGACGCTCCAGTTCACTTGGAGATAACTGGCACCGATGCATCGGGTGACATTGTTGACCCTCCTCAAAGGGAAGGTGTGGTACGGGCTCCTGGGCCAGAGAAGCAAAAAGCTTAAAGGTCCAGGAAGGCGCGCAAACCCTCCGCCCCTAAACCGGAAGGTGATAAAACACTCAGAGGCAAGCCTCCGACGTGGAAACACCGTCTGATAGTGCAATTCCCTCAATGAGACATGAGGTACCGTTGCATCCGGTCCCATCGACTCCTGTCAAACAACAAGTGGCATGGAAGGTAGATCAAATTGTGTGAATACACCTCGTCGGGGCGAATCTTAAGCACTTAGGAGTGTGGTTTTCAGAAACGTCACTGTATCCACCGACCTTCCATCGAGCGCATGCTTGATGATCTTGGTTGGTCTAAAGTTTGTTTGATCACGCTTTTACCAACAGGTTTCCCTGGCGTTTTTGTCAGGCAGCTCATGAGTTTGGGGAACGTTCAGGTAGGTTAAACAATTTCTCGCCCCCATCAGAGAGCTAAAAGCCCGGCGTGTAACGGGCGAGCATTATCACCGCTTAGTGGGTTTTCAGGTGGTCAACCTGCGGTCCTTTTCCGCCTTACCAGCAGCTATTCCACCTGGGCACGACGCAGTGCTGGTCGTGCCGCAGTCCTCCAAGTAGAACTCAGTAGACAGCGTAGCCTGAGGAATGAGATGTGCGAAGTGGGTCTGCTCGTAGACAAATCTCCTCACTGAAATGTGACTGCATGAGGAAATGACAGATGGCAAAATATGTCTGTCTGTCTACACACTGTTCCGCGCTGACTGCTCCATTGGCCGTCAAGTGATGCTGTAGCCTTTTATGTGAGTTATCCCATGGACGCATTGAGGACCAACGTTTTTCTGTCTCCCGACAAAGCTGTTGAGGCTCTAGCAGTCTTGATTTGCAATTTCTGTTCATGTTACGGTCGCGTTAGTGTCTAGAAGCCGAACAACCTCCTCGGGGTGCCAGCTGGGTGGTGAGGGTTTAAACCGTTCCAGCAAATATTTCGGCGGCAGTGTTCCAGGACGTGGTGTGTTTTCGCCTGACAAGCGTTCTCCCTATAAAAAGCCACAAATTTCTGCTTAACAACACTGCGACGTGACGGATGTGACTCGCCACAAACTAAAGTCACTGGCCCGTGGCCCGTGGATATTCGGAAAATGCTATCCAACCCACGAAAATCAATCGATTATTCTCACATTCCTGACGATAACAAACGGTCAAAAATTTTACGGTGCATTCAAAAATACAAGCCACATTCCTGCACAATTACATATGTATGTACACCCACATACTTACATACGCTGTTATGCCAAACATGTCCTTTTGTACAATTTGATCACACTATGTTAGCTAAATATGATCATGCCCGTAAAGGTGTGTCTCTTATTGTCGAGAATAAAAAAATTTATTTATTTCTTTATTTATGAGCAGTCCAATGGAATCATTGAACAACAAGTGTCTATTGCTAGGAGTCTTCGACCTCCCAGACATTTGTTGGGATGATCTATTTGCAGTTCGGGGCTGCGAGCGTTCGGTGCACAACTGTTGAACTTGACGCTACAGGTACCGGTAAACAAGTTCGTGGATCCCCACTAAGTACATGAACAATCAGCAACCGTCGACCTTAGAACTTGTTTTTGTCGTCACTTGCCTTTGGAAAAGACAATAATTGCGACTCACCTCTTGGCGCCTGCGGGTACGTTTGCTTGTATTTTCAGTGTACGCTTATCACGTCTTGCCAAGCTACTACCAGTTGTTATCCGAACATTTGGGCAGCAGACTTCCAAGCCTTGCGGGATAAAGCTAGCTCAGCGCCTTGTGTGATATCTGAGACGGACACTGTTCACAAAGCTTGGGAAAAACCTAAGGCTAAGCTCGTCGACATTTCTGCACCTCACATCCCACTGGTGAAAAGAAAGGACTCGAGAGCGCAGCCTCCGTGGATAGATTCCGCGGGGAAGGGTCTGATAAAGAGGCAGTCTAGATGCTGGCGGGCGCATCGAACAGTTCCGTCGAACAGCACCTTTGACAGATATCGGTTGTTTTGCAATTAGCGCAAGCTACATCTTAGATTGGCTCGATTTCAGCGTGAAAAGGGCTTATTTGATACTGCCTCGACAAATCCCAAGTAATTCTGCGCCTACGTTAAGCGAGGGCATGTGCAAACTCGCCTATACCACCGTTGATTCGAGGAGCTGGGAACCATGACCATAGCGACTATGACAAGTTATGCGCACTTTGTGAGCAGTACTGAAGCCTCTTTGTCCGCAAAATACATACGCCATGCAGAAATCTAGCTTCAGTGGTCTCTGAGGACTTTTGTCCGGATGAAATTCCTGTAACTGAGTCTTAAGTTCTCCGGCTTCTGGGTGCCGTGAACCTAACTAAGGCTTCCGGGCCAGCTTCTCTTCCTCCAAAATAGTTGCGCGAGTTGGCAGTGGAACTCAATGCTTCTCTGACTTATGTAAATAAATAAACTTTTATACTCGACAATGCGAGGCACACCTGTACAGGCATGATCATGTTTAGCTAACATAGTGTAATCAAAGTGTACAAAGAGTACATGTTTGGCATAACAGTGAATGTAAGTGTATGGGTGTATATATGCATGCAATTGTCTATGAATGTAGCTTGTATTTTTGAATGTGCCGCAGAATTTTTGACAGTTGTTATCGGTAGGAAGGTGGGAATAAGCGATTGACGTCCGTGGGTTGGATAGCATTTTCCGGATGTCCACGGGCCAGTGACTTTATTTTGTGGCGAGTCACATCCGCCACGTCACAGTGTTGATAAGCAGATATTTGTGGCATTTTATAGGGAGAACGCTTGCCGGGCGAAAACCCACCACGTCCTGGAACACTGCCGCCGAACTATTTGCTGGAACGGGTTAAACCCTCACCACCCAGCTGGCACCACGAGGAGGTTGTTCGGCTAGCCAGCCAAAGTCACTCAAAAGCCCTGTCTTATCTACTGAATGGAACGTCGCTGTTGTCTGCCACATTTTCAAGTGCGGCGACTGACCTACCTCCGCATTACAGGCCTGTCAGCTCGACTAACGTGGTCGTGAATTTATTTGAAAAGTCAGTACGAGCTACAGTGGAAAGCCATTTGAATAAGTTTAAACTGCTTACCGTCGAGCAACATGGATTTTGCAAAGGAGTTTCTTGTCAGACGAACTTGCTGGTGGTTCGTGCGAGCTGGGCTGAAGCCGTAGACAATGGACATGCTGTGGATGTGCTGTTCATTAACATTGCCATGGCCTTGGACACTGCCCACCATCCACGACTCTCACTGAAGTCGAGGTCTTATGAAATATCTGGTCGCGCTATCCAGTGGGTGTCAGCATTTCTGAATGTACGGGAACAGTGCATTCGTGTGGGAAGCAGTCTCCTGTTTCGACGAGCTATCCTTTAGCGGCGTTCCACAAGGCTGTTTTCTAGGTCTTCCGCTGTTCTCAGTCTACGTGAATGACTTGCCGGGGGTGCTCTGGATACCACCGCTCTAAATTACTGTTAACCTAAAGCTTTGAAATATTGTTGGTATTCCTGGAGATCCTGTGGCGCTTCAAAGGGCTGTGGATAGACCCTGGGAATGGTCTGTCTTATGGTTGTTGCCTATAAACTGGGCGAAGTGTTCACTGCTGCGTATCGGAGCTTCGGATTCCTCCACAAGTTAGGCGCTCAGTGGGAGTGAACTCCTTCACGGGACTCAGAAGGTTGCTCTAGTTGTCGCCCACTGTTCCACGCTACACTCTAGAGACAACTGGAAGAACGCGGCTAGTAAAAGGGTCCGGATGTTGTGGTTTATCCATCTTTCTTTCGGGGCTCTAACTGCTAATAGTTTTGTGAAGCTCTTCTCAGAGTTTGTGCAACCCCACCAAGACTATTGCGTCCAGGCCTGTCCACCATGCCTTGTCCGGAACAAAATGGCACTAGAAAGAGTGTTGCGTGTCGGTATTGGGTTGGCCGCGGCGTTACGAGGACAAACGTACCCCGACAGCTTACTTCGTTCAGGGATGCGTTCAATGCCCTATCGAAGGATTAAAGGGGACCTAATCCTAACCCATCGTATTGTGACT